CGTCAAGCCATTGCACCTCCTAAACCATATTTGAAAAAGAGTAGGGCTATAACTAGGAGCAAATACGAAAAAAGGTTCGCCCACGACGAGAGCCGATAGGCGATGGCGCCCTTCTACTCACTGGGATATCAAATATCGCTATAAGAGCCATAAGTGACTGAAATCCATGAAAATTAATCCGCTAAGTGAAAAGGGTCATAAAAAGGGCAACAGTGGCTTTGCACTGGCTCAAATAGTCCACCGGGAGCTATTACCACACTGCAGCATAAGTAAATGAGGGATCTTTCAACAATCTAACATATACAGGGGGCCCAATGAAAAAAGACACTTTTCTTCCTCGACTTTCAAGGCGCTATAAGTACACTTTATTAAATTCTGATTGGACATTTCCACCACCATATTCAACAACACATTGTACACTATCACGATACTCCGCCACAGCCTTCTGGACCAAGGCCAGCGAGAGATTCTGCCACGCGACTGTGATTCCGTACCTGAGATCGTTGATTTCTCCGCCACTGTAGACCACCCTGTTGAGCTCCCTCCGGACCCGGTAATCGAGGGGGTTTAGGTCAGGTGACACACTTGGATATTCCGTCTTCTTCAGGTACTCAACGCCCTTCCATTCCAAGTAGGCGAGAGTTTTTCCAACGCCCTTCGATTCCACGTACTACACCCAATCCTGTAGCAGTACGAAGTTTCCAAGATGGTACAGGCGGATATTCTACTCGAGGTGGTCGATGTAACCGTCAGCGATCGCTCCCAGTCCGGGGTCCACGAAGAAAATATCGGTCTTCCCATTCCAGGAACTTCCGGTCCATACCATCAACCCGCGCCTTGGCGACTGCGGTGAAGATGATATCCTGGACCGTAGCGACGTTGTCGGAGCTGCTCGATGTTGGAGGTCTTCCAGATCAAGAGTGCTGGTCTCCAGGTGTCCATGGGTGACTCCATACAAGAAGTTTCGCAGCTGTTTGGAGGTGACGTGAATTCCAAAGGCCTTCTCCAGTCAGGCTGCGATTGGAGATGACTTCATATTTTGGTGTGAAGGTGATGGGCGAGAGCCTGCTCCTGCTTATCGAGGAACATCTTGGGTATCTTCCGCCCTGGTACTCGTATCCACGTCTTCTCTCTGGGCTGCGTAAACTTTACTGATATGTGACTTGGCCAAAGTGTCTTTTTATTAGTGTCCAGGTTCGACTCTCGATGAATCTTGGCATACTTTGAATTCCTATAGGGTATTGCTTTAGCCGTAACCAAGATGGTATAAAAGTTTTATTGGCTAACGTTTCGGCGCCTTATCGCCTTCGTCAGAGCCTGGAAAAAGTCAAAAATCAAAGTGAAACTACCCTCGGAAATCATTTTCACCATTCATGGGTTCAGCGCCATGGAGGCGCGGAGTTTGAGGTGACGGTT